AAGACTATGCTTCTTGAAAACTACACCTTATGCAAAGAATCCTATGCTTCTTGAAGACTACACCCTTTGGTTGGTCAAAGAATCCTATGCTTCTTGAAGACTACACCCTATTGTTGGTCATTGTGTTGGTCAAAGAATCTTATGCTTCTTGAAGACTACACCCATTTGTCATTGTAAAGAAATAAAGTCTCACATGGCTTGTCTGAAAACGAATCCAATGAAGAAAATACTTATTTCATTTGTTCATTCATTCATCTATATAAACATGAAACTATACATCATGCCATCCAAACTACATATTACATTCATTGTCGAATATTTCTATAATATTGTCATCTATTATCATTCACAATGAATTATCTTCCTCCCTATAATTATGATTCGGATGAGGAAAATGCAAATTCTTCATTACCTCTTTTTGATAACACTTTGGAATCAACCACCACTCATATATTGCAAACCAACAATTTTTTTATGGCACATGCTATCTCTGCACAAAGTAGCCGACCAACTTGGGGAGGTTCTGTTCCAGGACATAGAGTAGTCCATCGTGATTGGGAGGAGGCTCATCGCACTTTGTTTCGAGATTATTTTAGTAGTAATCCAACCTACGATGAAGATACATTTCGTCGAAGGTTTCGAATTTCTATTCATAATTTCAAGCGTGTTATGCAAGCATTGGAAAATCATGATATTTTTTTCCAACAACGTCCGGATGGTCTTGGTCGACTCGGATTGCCAACATATACAAAAGGAACAACGGCGCTTCGTCAGTTGGCATATAAAACCCCTGCAGATGGTGTCGACGAATATCTTAAGATTGCTGAGTCAACGGCAAATGAATGCGTGAAGAGATTCTGTCGTGGAGTCGTTGAAGTTTTCGGAGCACAATATCTGAGATCACCAAATCACGATGATATCGCTAGATTGCTTCATATTGGTGAACAACGTGGTTTTCCAGGTATGTTAGGTAGCTTGGACTGTATGCACTGGGAATGGGAGAATTGCCCTAAGGCATGGGCTGGTCAATACTCTGGACGTTCCGAAAAACCAACAATCATTTTAGAAGCTGTGGCAGATTATGATCTATGGATATGGCACGCATATTTTGGTATGCCAGGTGCCAATAATGACATTAATGTGCTAGAAGCATCACCTCTAATGTCAAATCTTGCTGAAGGTATTGCTCCACCGGCTAATTATACCATTCAAGGCAAACAATTTAATATGGGTTATTATTTAGCAGATGGTATATATCCAAAATGGTCCACTATTGTTCAGTCATTTGTTGCACCATCAAATCCAATGGAGGGATACTTTAAAATGAGAAAAGAGGCATGTAGAAAAGATGTTGAGCGTGCATTTGGAGTTCTGCAAAAAAGGTTTGCAATCGTCGCGGGTCCTGTTCGTTTTTGGAAAAAAGAGGTGCTTAATGATATAATGAAAGCATGTATTATTTTGCACAATATGAATGTCGAAGAGCAACGGGATCTTAGTGCACCAATTAGAAGTGATGTTCAATTTGGTGCTCCTACGGTTACTCCAGCACCGCGAGATCACGTCTCTTTTCAACAATTTCTTGCTCGACACAAAAGAATCAAGGATAAATCTGCCCACTATGAACTTCGTAATGCATTGGTTGCACATTTGTGGGAAAAATATTCTCATGGCAATAACTAGTGTTGTATTTTGTTTTCCGTAGTTCTTGTTGTATTGAATGCTTCATGTTTGTGTTGATGTTTGTTTTTTTTTTAAATTAATGTTTGTGATGAAATCCACGTCGTTTTATGATGTAGTGTGTAATTTTATGATTTTGAATTTAAATTTATTAATTAATCTTATTAATTAATAATTAATATGTATACATAAATATGTAAATTTTAGCAAGCATAATGCATTAAAATGTAATTTGTAGAGATTATTTAATAAACTTATTAAATTAGAAAAGAATATGCTTGAAATATTCTTTTAGAGGGGAATTATAGAGGGAATGGGTTGGAGTTGCTGACACTGTTGAAACTGTATAACTAGTGGGATTTTACTGTAGAAACTGTAAGTATAGAGATTGTGGTTGGAGATGCTCTAATAAGTGAGCACATGTTAATATGCCCACCGCGTAGGTGACATACACTCATTGGTGATGTATTTTTTTAAACATATTAACATCACCAATAAGTGCATGCCACGTACGCGGTGAGCATATTAACATGTGCCCACCGTGGGTAGGGGAGCATTCATATAAAATAATGATATCCCTTATATTTAATTTCTGAATATTCTGAGTCTAAGTGGTATACTCGCATGTTTCGGTATTCCATGTGACAAAATTAAATGCTTAATTATTTGACTTGGATATGTTTTAATTTAATTCAAAAACAAAAATAATTGGCTCAGATTATCAATAAATATGTTAATTATTTATAGTCATGTTATATGTATTAATTGTATTTTAATTTCATTTCTTATTGTAACCATTGCATTGTAAATATATTTTAAAAGTTAATAACTTTTTATATTTTTTATTAGTATTACATATATAATATATCAAATTAATCACCTCTTGATGAACTTCGATTTGACATCCATATTGTATGTATAAACTAAATAAATTATACTTATCTTTATAGCAATAATAAAACTATTTATTAATTTTAATTAGAAAAATAAAATTATTTATCAGTTAAATATTTATATTTCAAGTATTATATGACATAAGTTACAAAAACTATTATAATATAACACATGCAAGTCGCACAAATAACAATTGTCATTCTAAAATCTATAATAATATATTTTTTTAGTAAGAAATTATTTCAATTTTAAAACATATTTTTTTTCATTAATTTTAGAATTAAGAATAATTTTTCTTAACAAACACCCGTATTCCTCATATTGGGTACCATAAGCAAATTTGCTGAAATTTCAGACCTTTATTTGTAAATATACAAACATTAGCATAATTAAGGCGGGATAATAAGATATTAATAACGTTCATAAACCACTTTCTGTTAAACCAACTCTACACGTTCATACCCCTCTCTTTATAAAATTATAAACACGAGCACACCGCAAATTACATTCTTTAATCTCAAAATCAACCACGAAATTTCCAAATTGAAATTGAAGAACATCTGAAATCAAATTGGGGGAGACACAAGAACTGTATATTTATTAAGAATTGAAGCTCGAAATTACCTTAATTTCGAGCTTCAATCTGCATATTTTTTCCGTGAATCAATGTTTTCGAAATTGTTCTTGTTGAGATTCGGGGGACTGAATCAGAATAATAGTGATTAATGGCGGATCCTTACGGAAGCAGTGATTCTGAAGATATTTCTTCGATTCTTCAAATTATTCTCCACAGCTCGTCCTCGTCCGCCGCCGTCAAGGGCAGCGCCGCCTCGGCTCCCGCTGGCGGCTTGTTCTGCGGCGGAGAGGCGCCGGTGCCGCCGGCGAAGTATTCCTCCGGCGAAGATTTCTTCGATCCCAGAAGTTTCGTCGCCAAACAAACTGAAGAATTTAACCCTTCTGCAAGTACTGAACACTTGGGCTCCGGCTTCGAGGTTTTTTTTTTTTTTTAGAAAATTATTTTTTCACCTATAAATTTCATTAAAAAAAATTGCAGGTATACCAATTTCACTGATTTATGATTTTATTTTTGATTTTGTTATTGGTTTTAAGTTGGATTGTTTTTCGGTTTATGACTCGTTTTTTATTGGCTTATTTATAGAGTGGTTTTGAATGATTCTATATTTGTCAATGTTTTGAAAAATATGATGAACATGTAAAATATTATGTTTGAAAATAAAATAAATGTTTCGGTAATTTTTATGGTTAATAAATTGGAAAGAGATGTTTCACTACTTAATTTTTTCGTCCTCTTTGATTTGCGTTTTTTATTTTCGTCTCGTATATTTGAAAGAAGGTTACACAAATGTCTTTTTTCATACATAATGGACGAAATTGAAACACTTTTTTTGCAAAACATAAAGGACATTTTTGTTGCGAAAATGATATTTTTGTAATTTTTTTTCAAACATACGGACGAAAATCAAAGAGGACGAAAAAGTTAAAGTAGTGAAACATAAATGACTAAAATTTGTAATTTACTCTATTGGAAAATTCGGATTTTCTTTTGGGTATTTATGAGGTGGGGTTGGATGGACTCAGGTGTTTCTTTGGTGATGTTGCCTTGTAGATTCATGTTCTCCATTTTATTATTTTTCTTTATTATTATTATTGTTATTATTGTTATTATTTCAATTTAATTCACTAAACTTATGTGGAATTTGATGGAAATATAGCTATATAATTTGGTGATCAAAATCTGTACAGGTTTTGTGACAAGATTTCAACCTTATTTTTTTTTAATAATTAAAACATGAAAGTTTTTTGTCAAATGATATATTTGTGTAACTTGAATCTAATGCTGGGACTGAAATTCACTGAATTATGAAGGAATCCGAAGCTTCCGTTTTTCGAACTAATTCAAATCCAGCGCGTTCTTCAAAGAGGAGTAGAGCAGCTGAAGTTCACAATTTATCCGAAAAGGTTCTCTCTTTTGTTTGTTTTTTCGTTTTTCCGTTTGCTGTTTTAACATCTTGATCAAAATTAGTATTTCGGTGTGAAGTTATTTTTTGTTTGTTCTATCCTTTAAATGGTTGTTGTGGACAGAGGAGGAGAAGTCGGATCAACGAGAAGCTGAAAGCACTTCAGAGTTTGGTACCCAATTCCAACAAAGTATACATTGTTTGTGAACCTTAAAATGTCTTTTAGTTCTTGTCTGAGTATTGTACATTTGGTTGATGAATGTTAATAATTCTTTTTTTTTTTTTGTTC